TATATTTACTTAACTTATGACAAAATTCCTATATTTATGTACTTCCCACTTAAAATTAAGAAATTACTACTTGATTTTCAAAAAAATGCCTAGCAATTGTTTCGTTACTTTCATATATGTAATACTCCTATATTGGCAGTAAGCTAACTTCTCAATGTGTAAGCATTCCGAAATCAAAGCGAGACAGTCTAGTACCGTTTTTGTCAATGTATCGTGTACTTGAGTGCCGTTTTTGTATATGTGTTGTGTACATGTTTATTTATAAACGTATGTGGTCCTTTTCTTTCGTACGTGTTTATTGATATATCTGTACTGTAGTGTTTTCGGACGGTACTAGCTCTTACTGCTAATATAGGAGTATTACATATATGGTTACTTTAAATATATGTATAAGCTACTAAACTTAAGTACATCAATTTTTTTTTTGTTCAAGATAATTTGGCTTTAGTGCAATATTATTCCATACTTTTACTTAAACTTGTACGGAGCTTCCGAACTTTTAGGAAGTCTTTTTTATGAGTGTATGTAGATGATGTGGAACTTTTGATGTAAGACTCGTTGAATGCCAGTACTCCGGTCTACAGTGAGTACATAGAGGTAAGGGTAGGAAAGGCGTCAGTTGCCTTGCACTATGTAGGGAGCTATTGGTAAAAGGTGAGGTCTCTCGCCCAAAGTAATTCATTAGCTCTATCAACCATTCATCCGCACTATGAGCCCTTGCCTGGTGGAACTCACTAGAGAAGGCTACACTTGTAAACCAACTGGAGCGTTTACAGCGGATCGCCCTAATCGGACATAAGGAACTACACCTACACTGGCGCTTAAGGCCATGTGAACACGGCGCCTGCGGATATTGCAGACAGAATTGTCGTAGCACGAACTACTTTTAGGCTCAGGGAAGCCATGTGGTAACACTCTGGAGTTCTGGAGGGCTTTGACTTCGCCCTGAACACATAGATTACTGCGCCTCCGAAATGGCTCCCAGAAGCTCCTTTTCTACCTATATTCCCTCGAGAGAGGACTGGGTAGAGTGAGGTTACTCGAAGAAGGGCGTGGTAAACTTCTTCACGGACGGATAAAAGTTGGAAGTTGGAGAAGGTTTCTTCTGTCGGAAACTCTCCACCAAAACTATGTTCAGGCTTCTATTTTCAGGTGGAAATAGCTGTCATCAAGGAAGCGGTAGACTCACTGCTTAAGGGTGTAATGGTGCACTCAATATCTGTAAAGAAATGTCTGACCTCTCTGTCAATCGCGCCGGAGTACTCCTTAATAAGGCTAGTTTAGGTGCCGGGTCACAGTGGCATCGCCGGAAACTGCGGGGCTGATCATTTGACGTTGTAAAGGCACCCTTAAAAGGTTAGGCACAGATAAGGAGCAACTAGGGAACGCCTCTGTTCTTCTGCGGTATACTCTTGCATGCTTGGGCCTAACTAATGTTAGCTCGGCGAGCGCTAGACTAACACGCATTCTTCGTACTCGCGATAATGAAATGGCATTCCTTACTAAATCTATATCGTCGCTGCGCCAACAAAAACTGTTATGTGTTTTTTAACAACTTTTCAGGAGAGCAAAAAAACTGATTACTGGTGCCAATAGGCAATATTTTGCAAATGCGTGATCAACATTTGCGCCGCTTTAAAGCACATAGCTGTTTTTATACACAATTTAAATTTGCTTTTGGCGGTATGGAAACGTACGTAATTTGTACATAATACTTCCGTTAGGCCTAGATGCAATATATAGAAGTTGAGGACTCGATTAGTTAACTGCCCGTTGCTCCTCAGTTGCAGTTCGATTGTCGAAGCGATAGGTCGTGGTTTGTCAGTTGTGCTTGTAGGTAGTTGAGTTTTTCGCATTCCGTTTTGTGCGGTGCTCGTACGATCGTTTGGTTTGGTTGCTTACCAGTGGCGTGAATGTATGGTTTGTTTACTAAGTTGTGCGCGTGGCTAGCGGGATCTTGTTGACAAGTTTTTCGTTGTCTGCTTTGTGGTGGTATTTGTTTACCAATAGTGTGCACGATACCGTTTACCAGCTCGGGATTGTATACGTGTGCGTGTGTGTAGAAATTGACTAGGGTATCTTTTTTACCAAATCGCGAACCGTGCTTAGTGTACCCAGTAGGGAAATAGTGTAGGACCAGTTGTGGCCGGTCAGTGCTTAGTTAGTAATGATTTTGGACCAGTTTGGGCCCAGTTTAGGGTTCGGTTTCGGGATCGTTTCCGGAATTTTTGCCGGGCAATTTCCGGACATTTTCCGGTATTCGACTTTTTTCCGGACTTTTTCCGGGTTTTTGGGGTCCTGCAGTGCCGCTCGGGTTTTTTAACCTTCTACGGTGGTACGGTTGCCTTTTTTAGCGGGGTGTTGCGCTGTGTACCGCGTATTACGTTTACCGGGTACCACACGCACGAGCGAATTGCTCTGGGGAATCTGTTGTGTGAGTTGCTGGCTTTTTGGCTAGACTTTGAGTAGGGTTTATACGCGCATATCGGCGGTTGCTTTGGCTCGCGAGTGTGTAGGTAGTGCATCGGTTGATCCATGTCCCGATACGGGGACACCGTTTGACTGGCGGGATTGTTTGGGTGACCTTTCTAGGGGCTGCCTTGTGGTGTGGTCTGAACCCAGCGGTATTAATCGCCTTGACCGCTCATTGAGTCGCCGGCGTTATAGCCGGGCTCTACTTTGAGCCCTACTGAAACTGGGGCTCCATTTTCAGTTTACTCTAAGGGCGTTTGTTAGAGTATAGTCTGTGCTTGGGTGCGTGTGTGCGTGAGTGTACCGTACAGCTACCCGTTGGAGGGGCTGAAGGCCGAAATGCCTTCGCGGAGGAAGAACCGCAAAGTGGCTATTGTGGGTGCTGAAAAATCGGTTCGCGAAATGTCCACGTCGGGGGAGGAAAGTGGTGCAAAGGGAAAGGCGGGGGTGAAATCGCCACCGAGGAATATTCGTCGGAAGGATGCGATTGACAAGAGAGAATCAGGTTTGGGTACCGGGTCTGATTCGGGAAGTCGTGGTCTTGGTCGTGCGAGGTCGATTGTGGTTTCGGGGGTAATACCTGTTAGCGGTGCGTCAGGTGGAGTAAGCGAGAATGCTGGTTGGTCTTTGGGCGTTGGCGCGAGCGCGGACACGGTTGCTGAGAAGGACATCGATGCGAGCACGATTGCTGGTACCAGCACTTGTGCTGATGTAGGCGTTGGGGGGGCTGCATTAAAGCCTGGTAAGGTGGTTGGGGCTGGTAAGAGGGCTAGTATCTCGGTATCGGTGAGGAGATTATTTTATGTGAGAGAGCGGTTGTCTTATATTTTCCTTCGAGAATGAGCTGGATTTACCTTTCTCTCTATTTACTATGGTTTTAGTTTTTTTTCCAACCCATTTCGAGGGTATTTCAAATTTACTCCGACCGTTGGAAAACCGAGCTTGGTTATGAGTTCATTCTCAGTTCGATATGCATATTGGATATCGAAGGTAGTTTTCGAACGTTCGCCAAAATGTTTATACGGTATATAAATATGAATTGCTGTTCATGTGTTATCGCAATGCTCAAGAACGGCTCAACGGATATGCTTCGTTTTTATTTCATTTCGTGTCTTTCTGCCTGTATAAGGTTTGTAAAGAGAAAACTGGAAAAATGGTGTTGCCACATATCTGCAATATAAAATAAAAAATTTATTATAAATAAGCCGCAATAATGCTATTTCACTGAGTACTCATAATAACAATTTATTCCGAAAAAAAATTGGATAGGGTTGCCACCATTCGAAAAAAAGTTTGTATATAATGGACTCCTTTCATGTGTTATCGCATCACTCAAGAACGGCTCAACGGATTGCGTCGTTTTTATTTCATTTTGTGTCTGTCTGTCCATAGAGGGTTTGTAAGGAAAAAATTAAATGCTGTTCGTGCTATCGCATTACTCAAGAACGGCTCAACTGGATTTGCTTCGTTTTTATTTCATTTTGTCTTTCTGTCTGTAGAAGGTTTGTAAAGAGAAAATTGGAAAAACGGTGTTGCCAGATAACTGCAATATTAGAAAAAATTAATTATAAATAAGCCACAATAATGCTGTTTCACTGAGAAGGTATAAAAAAAAGCCAATTCAGAAGAAATTTTGGTAGGGTTGCCCCTATTCGAAAAAAACTTGTGTGTGTTAAAATGGATTGCTTTCGTGTGTTATCGTATAACTCAAGAACGGCTCAAGGGACTTGCTTCGCTTTTATTTCATTTTGTGCCTTTCTGTCTGTAGAATGAATGTAAAGAAAAAAATGGAAAACCGATGTTGCCACATATTTCAATATGTATCAAAAAAAATTTAATTTACATAAGCCGCAATAATGTACTTAAGTGATATCGTATAAACAAGTTTAATTAAAAAAAAATTAATAGGGTTGCCACCCCTCGAACAAATCTTTACATATAAAAATGAATTACTGTTCGTGTGTTATCGCATAACTCAAAAACGGCTCAACGGATTTGCTTGGTTTTTATTTCATTTTGTTTCTCTCTGTCTGTACAAGGTTCGTAAAGAAAAAAATTTAAAAACCGGTGTTGCCAGATATCTGAAATATCAAAAAAAAATTGAAAATTAAAAAAGCCGCAATAATCATATTTCACTGAGATTGCATAAAAAATTTAATATAGAAAAAAATTTGGATAGGTTTTCCATCGTTCGATAAAATCTTTCCCTCTATTATGAATTTTCATACGATATATAGATAAACGCTTGCAAGCGAATCGTGTAAAATGAGTTTTCGTATTATGGTTTCCACACACCCGATAGATGTACTATTGTGAACGACAATGGTATTTGTTTGCCATTAGTTGTGAAACAGGTGTTCTTTTCTAGCTAAAATATTTTCAAAGCAAACACTTTGAACTTAAAAGTCGCGAAAACTTCCATAAACCACACAACATTAAGAAAAAACATGTTTCGGTCAACCTCAATTCTTCTTCTTCTTCTTTATTGGCGCTGTAACCGCCTAAGCGATTTTGGCCAAGTCCAAAACAGCACGCCAGTCATTTCTCTTCTGTGCTAACTGACGCCAATCGAAAAAGCCAAGTGAGACCATGTCCTTCTCCACCTAGTCTTTCCAACGTTGAATACTTTCAGAGAAGGAGCGTTTCTGTCCATTCAAACGACATGGCCAAGCCAGCGGAGCCGCTGAATTTTAATTCGCTGCACTATGTCTATATCGTTGTAAAGCTCATACAGCCATCGTTAAATTGTCTGCGGTATTCGCCATCGCCAACACGTAAAGGCCCTTAAATCTTTCGCAGAATCTTTCTCTCGAAAACTCCAAGAGCCGCTTCATCAGATGTTTGCATTGTCCATGCCACCAGCAAAGACATGAGAGGACCACTTCTCAATTGCCTACACAGTCCAAAGTAGCACTTGTTGGCAAGAGCGATTCTCCGTTGGATTTCAAGGCTGACATTATTATTGGTGTTAATGATAGTTCCCAAATAAACGATGTCGTCTACATTTTCAAACTTGTAACTGTCAACATTGACTTGGGTGCCAAGACGCGTATGCTCTGACTGTTTTTGTGATGACAGGAGATTCTTCGTTTTGTCCTCGTTCACCACCAGTCCCATTCGCTTTGCTTCTCTATCCAATCCCGAGAAGGCAGAACAGACGTAGCCCTTGTTTTTACCGATAATATCGATGTCGTCGGCATACACCAGCAATTGTACGCTCTTGTAAAATATTGTGCCTGAGCAGTTCAGTTCTGAAGCTCTTATTATCTTCTCCAACATCAGATTAAAGAATTTACACGAGAGGGAGTCACCTTGTCTGAAACGTTGCTTGATATCAAACAGCTCGGAGAGGCCCTTCCCTATTCTGACGGAGCTGGTGGTATCGCTCAACGCCATTTTATACAGCCGTATTAGTTTCGCGGGGATGCCAAATTCAGACATCGCTGCATAAAGACAACTTCTCTTCGTGCGGCTTTGAAATCGACAAATAGATTGTGTGCATCGATCCGGTTCTCGCGGGTCTTTTCCAATATTTGGCGCATTGTGAATACCTGATCTATGGTGGATTTCCCAGGCCTAAAGCCACACTGATAAGGTCCAATCAGTTCGTTGGCAGTGTGCTTCGGTCTTTCGCACAACACACTCGATAAGACCTTATAACCTATGCTTAGAAGGCTGATTCCGCGGTAGTTGGCGCGAATGGCGTGATCGCCTTTCTTGTGGCATGCGTTCATCTGACCATATTCTGCATAAGAGTTTATGCATGCACCTTATCAACTCCTCGCCACCGTACTTTAATAGCTCAGCTGGCAGGCTGTCAGCTCCAGCAGCTTTGTTGTTTTTCAAGCGCGCTATCGCTATTCGTACCTCGTCATATTCAGGTGGTGCAACATCGACTCCATCGTCATCGACTGGCGGCTTGGGCTCATCTTCTCCACTAATTTCAGTGCTGCTACCATTCAGTACGGTGGAAAAGTGTTCCCTCCATAATTTAAGTACATCCCGGGCATCGGTCACTAGGTCGCCGTTGTTTTTCTTACAGGAGTTCGCCCTGGCCGTAAGTCGCCTAACCCACTGGTAGAATTTACGGGCGTTTTTCCTGTCGGCTAGCATTTCAAGCTCTTGGCACTCACGTATTTCGGCCTCTCTCTTCTTATTGCGGCAAATACGTCTTGCCTCCTTCTTCAGTTCCCTATAACGGTCCCACATGGCTGGCGTTGCGTCCGATCGCAGCGTGGTCCAATAGGCGTCGTCATTTTTCTGTGCGGCTTCTTGACATTCCTCATCGTACTAGTTGTTTTTTCGGGCTCGCTGAAATCCAACTACTTCTTCGGCAGCGCTACTTAATTATCGGGAAATGTGGTTCTACTGCTCGCTTATTTCGGATTGTTGAAGAGTGCTCTCAGAGAGCAGGTGTGTGAGTCGAGTGGCGAATAAATTGGCCGTCTGTTGTGATTGCAGCTTTTCGACGTTAAGCTTTCCTTGCATTGTTGGGCGCATATTTTTTGCTGCACAGAGGCGGGTGCGTATCTTGGCTACAACAAGATAGTGGTCCGAGTCGATGTTTGGCCCTCGGAGTGTACGTACGTCCAAAACGCTTGAAGCATGCCTTCCGTCTATCACAACATGATCGATTTGGTTTCTCGTTTTTCGATCTGGAGACAGCCATGTAGCTTGGTGGATGTTCTTATGCTGGAACCTAGTTCTACGTATTACCATGTTTCGGGCCCCGGCGAAGTCGGTCAGCCTCTGTCCGTTATCGGACATTTCGTCGTGTAGGCTGAATTTTCCGGCAGTGGCGCCAAAGATCCCTTCCTTGCCCACCTTGGCATCGTGTCGCGGGAGCGCTCATATGTACGCTGTAAGCGCTCATAGAAGAGATCCTTGGACGCCTCGTCCTTCTCATCTGCGGGGAATGGTAGCAGATGAACGAGATGTTGAAGAATCTCGCTTTGATGTGGATCGTGGCTAGACGTTCGTCCACCGAAAAAAATTTGGTAGGGTTGCCGCTTTTCGAAAAAAAATGTTATATGTAAAGATGGATTGATTTCGTGTGTTATCGCGTAACTCAAGAATGGCTCAAGGGATTTGCCTCGATTTTATTTCATTTCCTGCTTTTCTGTCTGTAGAATGAATGTAAAGAAAAAATTGGAAAACGGGTGTTGCCACATATTTCAAATATCAAAAAAAAATTAAATTTACATAAGCAGCAATAATTTACTTTGAATGTATAAACAAATTTAATAACAAAAAAAATGAATAGGCAACCACCCAAAAAAATTAATTGCCGTTGGTGTGTTATCGCATTACTCAAGAATGGCTCAACGGATTTGCTTCGTTTTTATTTCATTTTATTTCTCAGTCTGTATAAGGTTTGTAAAGAAAAAATTTAAAAACCAGATATCTGTAATATCAAAAAAAAAATTTAAATTCAAAAAAGCCGCATTAATCATATTTCATTGAGAGTGCATAAAAAGTGTAATATGGAAAAAATTTCGATAGGTTTTTCATCATTCGATAAAATCTTTATAGTTATATAAAAATGTATTGCTGTATCAAAAAAATTTACTTTGAATAAGCTGATGCTATTCCACTGTGAATGTATGAAAACATTTAGAACAAAAAAATATGCATAGAGTTGCCACCATTCGAATAAAATCTCATGTTACGGTGTTTGGGTCAACTCCTCCGAAACGGCTTGACTGATTTGTATGACATTTTTTGTGTGTATTTAGAAATATATGAAATCAATCGCATACTCATGGAAAAATAATTTTTCATGCCGCATAACTCTGGAAGTGTTAATGGAACTAGGTATGGGGATATTAAAAATCAATTTGGAAAATGGGCACGGGGAACAGGTCGTAAGGTATATTTCATAGCGCTAAGTGAAGAAGGCGTGGCACCTCCTATAAAAACCGAATTTTTCATGCCGCATATATCTGGAAGTGTTCATGGTAGAGTACTGGAGCTTCGTAGGGATATATATGAAACCAATCGCATACTCTTGGAGAAAATTTGGAGCTATTGGAAAAGGGGACGTTGCACCTCCGTGGCAGCTCTCATACAAATCGAGTTTTTCATACTGCATATTTCTGGATGTGTTCATTGTCGTCAAGTACTCTACTCTACTAAAATAAATCGAATTTTTCAAACTGCACATGTCTGGAAGTGGTCATGCCCACTAGAATTTGAATCAGAATATGTGAGGAATAAAACAGTACTCCCTTTGGTCTGATTTCGGAGCAATAAGAGAGATTTGTCGGTTTTGACTTCCTTTATAGTTCGCTTAGGAGTCAAATGGGAGATCTCCTAAACGAGCGACAAAAAATACACCATGAGGTATGATTTGAGAGCAATAAGCAAGGTTTTTCGGTTTTGTCCTCCTTTATTAAGGCCGGTCCACATAGAACTTTCGCGTTTGCTTTGGCGTTGGCGTTGGTTTGACAGAACGCACGTTAAAAGTATGCTTGCTACAATGAAAGCTTGGCAGCGAATGCTTGGACGACTAAATTAACATACCAACGACAGATTAATTAATATTTCATATCAATAATTGCATTAAAAACGATATTTCTTGTCCGCACTTGATTAAAAAGGAAAAATATTTCACATAATTTTATTTATTTGCAACAGCTGATGAGCGACGCACGCGAAAAGTTGAGAGTTGGCCATCTCTTTGCTTTGTGTTGGCGTGAGCGTTGTCGAATTTCGACTATGTGGACGGCTGCATTTGAATTCATGTATTCATAGTCAGCTGTTGAAGCGACGCCAACGCCAACGCAACGCCAAAGTTCTATGTGGACGGGCCTTTACTCGCTTAGGTGCAAAGAGAAATTTCTCCCAAAGCTAACAATAAACGATTTTGAACTCCGTTATTACTGCCTTTCGAGCAAGATGTGAGATCTCCAAAGGCAAGGAATTCACGAGTATTCGGTTCTCGAGATATTGGAGCAATAAACACTGCAATTAATAGAAATTTTTTTATCACAAAAGATAAAACAATGTTGAAACAGAATATTTCAGAAAATGTAGACGAGAGCACAATAATTTTTAATGGAAGGCGAATGTAAATCTTAAGTAATTTAAGGTCCCAAAAATCCCGGGGTTCTTGGCACATAATACCGGGATTTTCGGGATTTGTAATTTGCACTGATGGCAATAATAGAAACTCCTTTTCTTGAACAGTATTGGCTATATTTCTTTTTTATTTAATAATTAATATTTTGATATAAATGCCTAGCGCGATAGCAAATTTGACGTCAGTAATTCAAAATTGATTTAAAAAATTCAGTGAAATGTGCTTACAGAAAAAGTATGGGTATCAAATTAAAGAGGAAATCCTGTGGAATTTAAACAGGTTCAAGTTTTTGGTGCCGAAGGACTGATAAGTATTGAAAATGTCCTTTTAAAGTTTTATCCTTGAAATTTCGCATTATTTGTTTTTGAAAAAATTATATGTCATATCTCTGGAAATGTTCATAGTAAAGTTCTGGAACCTGGTATGGAGATATCTGAAATCCATCGCGTACTCTTAGAGAAAAATTGTAGATATTGGAAAAGGGGCGTGGCACTTCCCAAACTAATCGAATTTTTCATACTGCATATCTCTGGAAATGTTCATGGTAGAGTGCTGGAACTTGGCGTGGAGATATATAAAACTACTCTTGCGATCTTGAGATATATGAAATGAATCGCATAGTCATGGAGAAAATATGGAGCTATTGGAAAAGGGGCGTGGTGCTGAGGTTGAGTTATTACTAAAACTCGACAAGTGAGAAAAGGTACCATGAATGTCAGACTAAATCGACCTGTTGCACCATTGAGTACATCGAACTAGCATGTGTTACGATTGGCCTAATATTATTAAAGCTTCATTCGGAGACACCAGGGTTGAGTTGTGCAGTGGTAAAGCTCAAATCACCACCTGTCGAAATACCTTAAAAGCCAGTTTAATGAAAGCAATTTAATGAAAATTAATTTTTTTTATTGAATTTAATATATAGCCTGACATAATAAAATAATTTTTCACTTAAATTGCTTTCGGGAAACTGGCTTTTGAACAAGGATACGCATCCATTTTGAAATTGCCACCAACTATAAGATAAAGTTTCTAGGACACATTCACTATAGATCCGGGTCATTTTTGCCACCAGGGAACTTCTCATGAATGTGCCAGTACAAATCGTAAATGTGCAATTGTGCATCAACTCGGGAGGTGGTCATTTGAGTAATACATATAACTTTTTCAACTAAATCTCATCAATTGTACATNCTAAAACTCGACAAGTGAGAAAAGGTACCATGAATGTCAGACTAAATCGACCTGTTGCACCATTGAGTACATCGAACTAGCATGTGTTACGATTGGCCTAATATTATTAAAGCTTCATTCGGAGACACCAGGGTTGAGTTGTGCAGTGGTAAAGCTCAAATCACCACCTGTCGAAATACCTTAAAAGCCAGTTTAATGAAAGCAATTTAATGAAAATTAATTTTTTTTATTGAATTTAATATATAGCCTGACATAATAAAATAATTTTTCACTTAAATTGCTTTCGGGAAACTGGCTTTTGAACAAGGATACGCATCCATTTTGAAATTGCCACCAACTATAAGATAAAGTTTCTAGGACACATTCACTATAGATCCGGGTCATTTTTGCCACCAGGGAACTTCTCATGAATGTGCCAGTACAAATAAATGTGCAATTGTGCATCAACTCGGGAGGTGGTCATTTGAGTAATACATATAACTTTTTCAACTAAATCTCATCAATTGTACATCCTCAAATAAACTTTGCATGAAAACCGACTTCATTACTATTTTTTTTTTCATTTCTAACAAAATGGTAGCCAGAGGGAGTTATGACTTTACTTTTGCGCCGCTTGTACTACATATTAACAATTCTCAATCGCACTGAATTATCCATGAATAAATTAAGGTGAAACTATCATCCATTTACATTTATAGAACTTGTTTCTATATTTCTTTATTGTAAATTTAAGTCAAATACAATTCTCACAAAACGAACGTGTTGCAACTAAAAAATTNATTTATAGAACTTGTTTCTATATTTCTTTATTGTAAATTTAAGTCAAATATAATTCTCACAAAACGAACGTGTTGCAACTAAAAAATGTCAAAAATAATTGTGTATCTATTTTAGCGTGAAGTTAGCTGACGTGCGTCGGTTAAAAATTCAAAGTTGACGTTGCTTCATCCAGCTCAGAGTTGCCACCTGAACG